TGAGTGTGAGCACTTAGGTGTTGAATCTTGCCCACAAGGAGCAATTTGACTTAGGAACTTGCTGTCCACTATAATCCTAACACTCAAGTATAGATTTTGTGTTTTCAGACTGAGGGGGTAAGTGACTGAGTGTGTGTGTGTGTGTGTGTGTGTGCGTGCGTGCGTGCATGTGTATGAATATATCCAAGATGTGTGTATTATATATATACATGTATAAACTGAAGTATATTAATAAATATAGGTAATAGTTACCAATATATGTAAGTATATTAAATATATAAGATCTCTAAGAATTTTAGACCTGGGGCTTTAGACCAAGAGCTAAAGTCAAGTGGATTTTTGTCTGGTTTCCATTAACATGGGGAGTAGGATTTATATATACATACATTTACATATATACATACATATACATATCGGGTCTCAGGTTTCAACGCAGAAAATGTTTCCTTATAAAGGTAACGTGAAGCTAGGCTCATACCTGTAATCTTGGCTACTCACGAGACTGAGTCTGAAGATAGTGGTTTGAAGCTAGCCCAGCCAGTAAAGTCCATGAGACTCTTATCTCCAATAAACTACTCAGAAGAAGCCAGAAGTGGTGCTGTGGCTCAAGTGGTATAGCACTAGCCTTGAGTACAAAGAGGCTCAGGGACAGTGCCTAGGCCCTGAGTTCAAGCCCCAGGACCAGCAAATACTACTACTACTACTACTACTACTAGTAACCCTAAAAGGAAAACATTTTTAGTAAATGAAGCTTTTGTGAGATTATTTGATCACTAAATTTATGACACCTTTTGTACCAAGTTCATAGTTACCAGTTTTGTATTTACTCCAGGCATCCCTTCAGTCCTAGCAGTAGACTGAGCCAAGACAGCTCTGTTGTCCATAGTTGGAGTGAAACAGCAAGGGAGAGTGGGGGAGAAAAAGCCAGAGGCATAGACAGAGACTGAGACAGAGACAGACTGATCCTGGAACACCATGCTCACAAAAGGTGTTTATATCAAATAGAATCAACCTGAGGTCGGATGATCTTGGCCTGCTTCGTTTTCAGCCAACCCTGCCCTACTTCAGTGAATATAGCAGAGAAATGGATGAGCATGGCGTGTTCCCATTTCAGAACTGTACCTACTAGTGTTTATTGTTGCAGGACATTAAGGAGTGGAATTAGACTAAAAACTGGCAGTAGTCATTAACCAAACCCTGTGTTACTCAGGCAGAAGACATGGGAAAGGGATCTTCATTCAACATTACTACATATAAAAGAAATGACCTCATAATCAGGAGGGTTAGACATGAGATCACTTCAAACCTTCCAAGTGAATGAATGAAGCCAGTTTTGACACAGCAGAACCTTCAGCATGTCTACAATGACCATGGAGCTGCCCCAACAGGAGAGCTATTCACTTTATATTAAACCTTGCATATATATGTGCAGTCTCTGAGCTTTTTTGCTAAAGGCTAGTACTCAGCCATTTACATCTCCACTTCTGTTTTTCCTTTTCTCCTTTATTCTTTTTTTTCTTTTAATGGTTAATTAGAAATAAGAGTCTTTCCTGCCCTATCTGGCTTTAAACTGAAATCCTCAGATCTCAGCCTCCTTGAGTAGCTATGATTATAGGTGTGAGCTGCCAATGCCCAGTCTCCCTGATGCTTTTAATCTACTGTGCCTGCTTCATTTTTCACAGCTGCATAACTTATTGCTATCAATTTTTCTGGGTTTGTTGTTTGTCTCCCATTTGGGGAAAGAAGCTCTTCAGAGGCAAGGATTGTAACCCAGATTTGATTGCTTCACCTCCAGGACCCAGCATGGCACTGGCTTCTAGCATCTTCTTAATGGCAGTTTGGGGGTTTGTGAGTTAAAGGAATCAGCAGTATTTTTAAGCTTTTGTTTACGTGGCTCTGCAAGGTATTGCCTGATTGAAGCCAGTTAAACTGAACATTTCTTTTGGGAGCATCTTCTCAAAGTCATAACAATTCAGATATTAGCAGTGAAAATCATGTCCATGGGCCATGAAAAACTAGATATGGAAATATCCGTACTGGCTGTGGAATGAAATGATGTGTGTGTGTGTGTGTGTGTGTGTGTGTGTGTGTGTGTGTGTGTGTGTGTGAGAGAGAGAGAGAGAGAGAGAGAGAGAGAGAGAGAGAGAGAGAATGTGTGTGAGAGATTTTTTTTGTTTATGCAGGTAGGTTCTCAACAAAGCCCAGAGCCTTGCTAACCTAAGCTACTCTTGATTCCATATGCTTGTGTTGAAATACACTTTGAATCTTAGTTATACATATTAATAAAAAATAAAATAGCCAGTGCTGGTGGCTTATGCTTATAATTCTGTTTAGGAGGCTAAGATCTAAGGATTGTGGTTCAGAGCCAGCCCAGGCAGAAAAGTCTGTGAGATTCTTATCTCCAATTAGCCAGTAAAAAGTTGAAAGTGGAGGTATGATTCAAAGTGTAGAATACCAGCCTTTAGTGAAAAACAAACAACAGCAAAAACCAGAATACAAGGCCCTGAGTTCAAGCCTCAGGACTAGCACATACACAAAAAATTAAAATAAAATAGAACTTAAAAAAGGAAGGAAATATAACAAATATAACAGATATAACAAATGTAACCAGAAAGAAGATAGCTTTATCTCTTAGCATCCAGTTCTCCCAACATCCAGGCCTCTCGTGTGTGTGTGTGTGTGTGTGTGTGTGTGTGTGTGTGTGTGTGCGCGCGCGTGCGCACCAGTACTGGGGCTTGAACTCAGCATAATGCTTTTTTTTTTTTCTCAAGGCTGGTGTACCACTTGAGACATAGAAATACAGTTCCATTTCTGGCTTTTTTGCTGGATAATTGAAAATAAGAGTCATATGACTTTGCTGCCCCAGCTGGCTTCAAAATGTAATCCTCAGACCTCAGTCTCTTGAGTGGCTAGAATTATAGGTGTGAGCTGCTGGCACCCAGTTCAGGCCTCTAATCTTGATACTTTCCATTTTTACTACTGTCTCATATTTCCTACACTTTTTCCTTTTTCTTTTTGTTTTGGTTGTGAAGTTTGAACTCAGGGCCTAGGTGCTATCCCTGAGCTCTTTTGCTCAAGGCTAATACTCCACACAGTCTTTTGAGTGGTTAATTGGAGATAAGCGTCTCATGGGGACTTTTCTTCCAGGGCTGGTTTCCAACTGTGATCCTGAGATCTCAGCCTCCTGAGTAGCAAGGATTATAGGCACTTTCCACTGGCCCCTGAGCTACACCTTTTTTAAAAAAATTACATGAAATGCCTGTTTAACTTCAATAATCTACAAATTTAGCACCCAAAGTAGCTCAAATTACATATTTCTTCCAGACACTTTAATTTTTAAAGAAAAAAATTGGTAGAAGCTTACATCACAGTCATGTGATCAATGTCATAGTATTGAGAACAGTGCATTCCCCTAACCATGCTCACCTGGACTCAAATTGTATTTGTGACAGGTTCTCTGTAGATACCCAGGTGCAGAATAAAAGAGTTTGAATTACCATAACATTTTTCTCTTTAAAAATGTGAGATAAAATTTCCCTTTAGAAAATAAAATTGTAAACCAGGCACCAGTGGCTCACGCCTGTAATCCTAGCTACTCAGGAGGCTGAGATCTGAGGATCTCAGTTCAAAGCCAGCCGGGGCAGTAAACCATAAGTGGTGCTGTGGCTCAAGTGGTAGAGCACTAGTCTTGAGCTGAAGAGCTGAGGGACAGTGCCCAGGCCCAGAGTTCAAGCCCCACAACCACTACCACCAACAACTAAATTACTTTAAAAAATAAACTTAGCTCATGTCTGTAATCCTAGTTACTCAGGAGGTTGAGATCTGAGAATCACAGTTTGAAGCCAGCCCGGGAAGGGAAGATTAGGAAATTCTTATTTCCAATTAATCACACACACACACACACACACACACACACACACACGCACGCACGCACGCACGCACATCAGAAGTTGAGCTGTGGCTTAAAGTGGTAGAGCACTAGCCTTAAGCACAAAACAAAAGCTCAGGAACAGCATCCAGCCTATGAGCTCAAGCAATAAATAAAATTTAAAAGCAGCATCAGTTTTGTTAGGGAAGGGTAGGAATTTTGAAGAAGTTGAATGAGCCATAGGAGGCCTGTGATAGGACTCATCTGCAGCCCTTCTTAAGTGGTACCTCTGGGTCATGAATCTGGGCATGTCATATGGGTCAAGGTTGGTGAAGCCTTAACCATGAATGAGGATGGAGAGGAAGAAAATAGCATGAGCAGTAATAATTCTATCAACATTTTATGTAAGGATGATAGCCTACAAATGAAGTCATTCCACCATTTGGCTAATAAATAAACTAAGGCTCTCTGTAGATGTCAGTAACTTGCCACAAATCATTTTCTTGCCAGAAGCTAATAAGTGGCAAGAGTAGGCACTGGTAAGCTGCCTGGTCACTGGTTTGACTCCATAACTGCTGTTTTTAAAAATCAATTAATTGATTAATTAATTTTTATATTGGTACTGGGACTTGAACTTAGGACCAGGACTCTGTTCTTGACCTTTTTCATTGAAGGCAAGTATTCTACCACTTGAGCGATAGCTCCACTACTGGCTTTTTGCTGGGTAATTGAAAATAAGAGTCTTTCCTGCCTGGGCTAACTTTAAACCATGGCCCTCAGATCTCAGCCTCCTAAGTAGCTAGGATTACAGACTTGAGCCATTGACTTTCATAACCTTTGTTTTAACATTGACGGATTTAGTGGGCAGATATAGCTAGCTAGCTATTCCATCATAGGAACTGAAGATAGCAGAGATCAACACACCATTGGTCGATTGCAGAGCATCCTTCCAGTACAAAGCTGGCAGGTTTAGTGCCATTTCTGGTTGTGAGGTCTTCCCCAAAGGAATCCATTGTGATTTTTTTTTTCCTTCCAAGAAAGCTTACACTGAAATGTGGGTGATACCACATGATCGGCCCAGCACTGCCTTCCTATGCAGAATGGTGACCAGCCTGTACCCTCTCTCCTGCAGATGCCGTTCCTATGAGGATTGCTGTGGCTCCAGGTGCTGTGTGCGCGCCCTCTCCATCCAGAGGCTGTGGTATTTTTGGTAGGTCACAATTCTCTCTTGTCCCCCATGCCTTTTTCTAACAAGGTCCCTACCTCCCAAGATCTCTTCCTCCTTTGGTAGTTACCATCTTAGTTCTAAGCACTTTCACTCAGGCTTTTGGACACCCTGGACCAGAAAAGTTAGAAACATACGGCTTGGCTCATAAGAGGTACTTGTGCTCAGTTTGCAGAAAACTCCTCATTTCCACAGACTTCTGTCTAGGGAAGAACCATGCTTCTGGAAAGGCGATCAGATGCCAGCCTTGTCCTGTAGCAAGGCTGCTTAGCCAGTTTGAAATGGAGCCAGGGCTGAGTGTCTTGAAGAATCAGAGTCAGGAAACTAAGACATGTGATAAAGTTTCTGCTGCCTGGCCGTCTTCCTCATCTACCTTGTGACGGTTGAATCTTAGCCTTTATGAGAGACAGCCTGCTTTCTTGTCCCTCTTCCAGCTCCTCAGGTGTCTGGAGAACCATCTGCGATCTATGAAATTGTGCTTTGAGAGAAAGGTGGGATGCAGTTTCCTTAGAGAGAGCCGCCTTCTGTGAATCGTGATCCCCAGAGGATCCTGTAGAGGCCTCTGAGAGTCTAGTTGCCTGAGATAAAAGTATTACTTTCAAGGATGGGAAGGAAGGAATTCTTTAAAACCCAAAGGACATTTCTTGCATCTACTTACTTTGCTTCTAGGTGTGATGTCCTCAGCTAAACTCCACTAAGGGTTAAAACTTCAGATTTTTCATGACTTAACTGTCTTCATGATTTTAAATTTCTGGCTTTGAACCAGGCTGTAGAGTGGCTCATGCCACTAAGGCTAAGATCTGAGGATTGATGTTTGAAGCTAGCCTGGGCAGGAAAGCCTGTGAGACTCTTATCTCCAATTAACCATCAGAAAAATGGAAATGGTTCTGTGGCTTAAAGTGATAGAGTGCTAGCCTTGAGAAAAAGAGCTCAGGGACAATGCCCAGGTCCAGAGATCAAACACCCAGAACTGGCAAATAATAATAATAATAGTAATTCTATAAAAAAAACTCACTGGACATGTTATATCAATCACTTGAATTGCTCTGTGAGGTCTTGTCTTTTCTTCTTAACAATGTTCCCAGTGATAAGATAAACCAGTAGGTATGTGTAGTGGCTCTGTGTGGCCTTAGGGCTAAGGTTTTTTTCTTTTTTTTTTAATAAGTTTTTTTTATTGTGAAAATACTGTACAGAGGGGTTACAGTTACATGAGCAAGGTAATGAGTACATTTCTTATCAAGCATTATTGCCTCCTCCTTTGTTTTTCCCCTACCATCCCTTCTCTCCCCACCTCCTCAACTACACTTTAGTAGCAATGCCTCCTTTCTTCGTCCCCATCACCAGTTCCTTAAATAAGCTTTGCATATGTGAGAGCTGATATCACTTGTTGTATGAGCCATAGAGCCTTGTGGGAACTATGACCTGCTGCAGGAGATGTGATTAAGTGCTTGAAGTCTGAATGATATAATGGAAAACCATTTGACCTCTGTATTCATTCCTGTCAAAAGACAGAGCTACTGTATGGATGTATCTTACTGAGGAAATCATGGCTCCCTTGTTAAAACTGTTTACAAGCTTCCTGACTTTTTGTCATCTGCCTTTTGTTAAGCACTGCCCCTCTTAAGTTTGCACAGGGCTGATTTGAACCTATAATAGCAGAGGTTGGCAGAAAGAAGAGCAGCTTACCCATGTCTGTCGATTAAACTCATTCCTCACCCCATGGTGGCCATTGGGATATTAATTATTTAATAACAATATTCTTAGATATCACTGCATGAGCATCTCTTCATTTGTAGTTTTGGAATCTGCTGGTCAGAACCAGCAACCTGTCTCCTCAGCCCCTGACCAGGACTTCCTTAGAACCTTCATAGGCTGCCCTGCCAAGATGGCTACATGCACTGAACAAGGAGGATCAATGTCCTGCTTGTCTACCTTATAGTAGTTGGTGTTCCCTCTGTAAGAGAACATGAACTATTTTTCTTCCTGAAGATTTCCAAATGTAACACCTCTGTGTATGTCTGAAGGTAGAGAGGACTGGAACTACAGCAGGAGAAGGGAGGACCATTGGGCAGGGGACATTTCCAAGTGTGGCTTATCTTTAGGGTAGGAGGGGATCTCTCAGGAGTGTCTTCATTGGGACTTTCTGGCAGAAAGAGCAAGGGGATTGAATGTTGACACCCTGAACCCTCCCTAAGAAGGTTCAAAAGCATGATGGCTTAATCTGAAACTGCTAATGTGGTGGGAGAGCTAAACAAATTTTTCTAAAAGTTTGCCAGGTGTAGTGCTAGCTACTTGGGAGGTGGAGATCCAGGGATTATGATTTGAAGTCAGCCATGGCATAAAAGTTTGTAAGACTTCATCTTAACCAATGGTGGGGCACACACCTATTATTCCAGCTACTGAGGAAGCACAGTGACTGGGTGCATTAACTTGAACCTGTTATCTACAGTGACATGAGTAAGTAGAAGTAGGAGGATCACAATCTAAGCACCTGTCTAGGTTGAAAGCAAGACCCTACCTCAAAAGTTACCTCTCAACCAATGCAAAAAAGGGGCAGGAGAGATGTAGTTCTAGTTATAGAGCACCAGCCTAGCAAGAAACCATAAGTTTGATCCACAGTACTAGAGATCCACAGAAGGGGATTGAGGGGGGAAATTATCAAAGGCTAGACATTATACGGTTAAAAAGGAAAACAGTGAGAAATCCCAGAAGGTCTATTAGGGACTGACCTTCCTTTCTTGTTGGTCAGCATTTCTGAACTGGTTTTGCCAGGTGCTTCTGCTGTTGGTTAAGATCACCTCTTGTTATCTTTTAGTGATCCAAGTCAGCCGAAAACATATTTAATTCCTAACCTCCAGGCCAATGCACCAAATATATTATTGGAAATTTAGGGCAGCAAAGTTGACCTGGGCTCTTGAGGTCTAACAAGAGAAGAATTCAGACAAGATAGGAATGTAAGTAAAGAGAATAGGAAAGTTTATTAGAAAAGACATGGCAGAGAAAGAGATCATGCCATAGGAAGGTGGCACTTCAGCCCATCTCAGCTATCTTTTGCTACAGAGCTTCGTCTTGGGAGAATGGAGTCTCTGAAAAGGACTTTCTGATTGGTTTGGTGGGTCTTCTTTTTGTTTCCTATAAGGTCATGACCCGAAGATTTAGTGCCCCATCCTTATTTCCTCTTTTGTGCTTCCTCTTTCTTTTGTAGTCTCCTGCTCCCATTTTATTGTCAGGCAGGTTTGGCTTAGTGTCCAGCTATCTGCAAGCTGTGTAAGCCACTAGTCCCTGACTGGCCTGCTTGAGCTTTCCTGTTAACTTGTATCACTATCTGAGGCTGGGTACCATACTGAGATGAATGCTGACAAGGCTGGATCTCACACAGAGAACCTCTTAAGTCTCATCAGTGTGGTTACACTCTTGCTGGTCAAGTCAGAGGGCCAACTTCCAAAATCTTGGTTAAGTTATCAGTGTTAAGACTTCTTTTTTTGGGGGGGGGGGGCATTGGAGAGTACTGAAGTTTGAAATCAAGACCGTGCATTTGCCAGATTCAGGTGTTTAACTATTTGAGCCATAACTCTAGATCATTTCCTTTTGCTTTCGTTAATAGTTATTTTTGTGGATAAGGTCTTGAGTTTTGCCCTGGATCAGCTTCAGATTGGCATCCTCCTACCCATGCTCCCCGCATAGCTGAGAATATAAGTGTCATCACTGCCTGACATATTTGTGGAGATGGAACCTTGCTAACTTTCTGTCTAAGCTGGCTTTGAACCTCAGCTGCCACTCATTGTCTGAAGTTGAGATTCATTAACACAATTTTCAACTGGTGCTGCAGCTAGTTAACACCTTGAGGTATGAATTTGAGGTGTCCCAGCTGAATATAAAGGATGCGTTGACTCTGTTTTGTATATTCTCTCAATAAACCTCCCAGGCCAGATGTTCTGCTGGGAGTCCTATAGAGGTGCATTTATGGCAGTTTAGTTTTGGAAAGAGACAGATGTCTAGACTAATAATTACAAGTAGATAAATTTAAGTTCTTTTTTTCTGTTTTTGTTGGTTGTGGGGCTTGAACGATGGGCTTGGGGGCTGTCCCTCAGCTCTTCAGCTCAAGGCAAGCGCTCCAGCACTTGAATGAACCACAGCACCATTTCCAATTTTCTACTGGTTTATTGGAGATAAGAGTCTCACGGACTTTCCTGACTGGGCTGGCTTTGAAACATGATCCTCAGGTCTCAGCCTCCTTAGTAGCTAGGATACAGGCGTGAGCCACCGGGTCCGTGCTAAATTTAAGTTCTTATTCTGCAAAGAACCTTTTTGTCTTTTTCCTTTCTTTCTTCCTTTCTTTCTTCCTTTCTTTCTTCCTTTCTTTCTTCCTTTCTTTCTTCCTTCCTTCCTTTCTTCCTTTCTTTCTTTCTTTCTTTCTTTCTTTCTTTCTTTCTTTCTTTCTTTCTTTCTTTCTTTCTTTCTTTTTTTATTGTGAAAATACCGTACAGAGGGCTTATAATTACATAGGCAAGGTTACCTTGGCAATTACATAGGCAATTGTTACCTCCTCCTTTGTTTCCCCTTTCCATCCCTTCCTATCTCCCCATCCCCTCTCTCCCCACCTCCCCGCGCCAAAGTTGTAAAGTTCAGTTTTCAACATGTTTTGTACATCTCATTGTTGCAATGGGTCCACCTGTATCCCTATTTAAACAATTTGTTTTTTCCTTTCCCCTCCCCAAATTATACCAATATCAAATACAGTGAAAACAGGGGTTATACCATGGGGGAGGGACATACAAAGCAACAATGAAATATCTTATAAATATGTTACAAACAATAGCAAGAAAGAAAAAAAACATTTGAGTCCTTATCTTGGGGTTCATTTCGCCTAACATCAACTTATCTGGCTGTTTCTGCTTGTCCCAGACATATACTAGTTATTGAAAATAAGGGAAACCATGGGACCTATGTTTCTTTGGGCCTGGCTTACTTCACTTAATATAATT